GTCAGTCTATGTGAGTCAGTTCGTTATCAGACTTCCGCTGCATAAATGCTCATCCTATATTGGTTGATCTTTGGTTCTGCCCATACTCATTGAAGTATGTAACAGTGGTCCCTGGGGTGCTAGTGGCATCTGTGCGGTGTGGATCGGGGTTGTGAGTGTTACGAGAGACATACCTGGTGCTGAAGCGTGCGACATTGGTCGCCATATGCTCGTACTTCGGGAACGCTGTTGATGTCATCATTCTGCTTCGTAGTATAGGTTAGATAGGATCTGCCACCTGTAGTCTGGGCGCCGAGCGCCAATAGGATATCAACTCTGGTTCGTAGTTAATGATGATAGGACTACTTCAGCATTGTCAATTTTGAACTCTTGGTGTGTTCTTATTTGGTGTATCTCGTGATGCCAGTCTGCTGTGGTTCGAGGTCAAGACTATCAGGGCTCATATGTATGATGCTGTTTGATTGCTGAAGTTCGCTAATGCTCATCTTCCTTGCATACTCCTTATGAGGACCTTATCCATCAGTCAAATGCATCCTGGACTGACTGTTGGGGTTCAACCTTCTGACGAGTCGGTGAAATTTCGACGAAACGGTCTGGCATAGTAATGCTTTTTTTTTAGGAGTTATCATTTATGTAAATTAATGTATATATATTATATAGCAAACACGAGCAGCTTGGCAGGGCGAAGAGCAGGGCAAGCAGCGCAAGTGGGCAATGCAAGCGAGGCCAGGTAAGCAGCACAGCGAACAGTTAGGGAACAAACTTGAAGGCACTGGAAGGCAAGGCAAGGGGGAAAGAAGGCGGGCGAGAGGGTGGGAGACCAACACAGCAAGACACCCAGTACAGGAACCAATGGAGGCAGTCAGGGACAAAGTGGAACATCACCCCGTCCCGCTCACATCATATGGAAAACCCAACAGACTGCTGGTTCACACCCCATGAGAGCCAGCAAGGGATCCGACGAATCGTCCATCCGCAGTGAGAAACACGGATACAGGCATACGAAACACCACCACCCCCTCATAGAGTTGCAGGCTCTCAGTACAAGCAGCAACCGACTATTTGGCACAACTTGAGGGTATTCAACGTGTCATGGAGGCACAACAGTAATAAAAACTAAGAATAATGACAATGCTGACAACACATAAAGTAACGGTAAGAATGAGAATATAGTAGCAACATAGTTAATAACAATAAATTCAATAATAATAAAATGATTGCATGTATGTTGTCCAGAAGATTACCAATCCAACCAGTAGTACTAAAACAAATTGAATGAAAAATGTGCAAGTTTGTCAGTTTGGTTGAGTGCCAAGTGCCCACTCAGGCACATACACACACACACACACACACACACACACACACACACACACACACACACACACACACACACACACAGAGAGAGAGAGAGAGA